TTCTCTTTCTGAAAGTGTAAAAATTATTATTAATACACACTATCTACACATTAGAAATACTTTTAAATCAGATAGATACTATCATTAAACATACAAGAATGTTAACATGTTTCATGAATACAGTGCTAAAGCTCATTAACAGTTATCACTACAATGCAGATAACTTACATAATTACTCCATGTTGGTAGTGCTTTATGGTTACTAAGTTATACTATAAAAATATATGAACTGAAATCATGAATACTACTTCAAATATTAATTGGTTAAGTGATACTTAACTAGATCACCAAGTAAAAATTCGTAATTTGGGACTTTGTACTGTAAAATCAGATTTCCAATTTTAGGAATCACTTAAAATTTTAGAATTATAGGTCAACCAAAAAATACTGTTACTAATGATTTAATTAATTAGTGCCTATATACTTACAATCAAAAAAACCCTCCAGAAATGCATGGTTTATTAAAGGACTCATTGCTAACAATATTTAGATTCCATTCAGCTACTTAAAGACAACCGCTCTTAAATTCCTACTACAGTTACAATGGCATTATGCCTGAAGTTGTGAAAATACAAAAAAAAATACTAATTTTTTATTCTGTCAAACAGTATATTCACAATGTTTTCCATTCAAACAGATCATCATAAAGTTTACACAGCATAGCATAACTAGTAAGAGCATGGCCTTTTTAGCCTGACCTGAGATTAAGTCCTGTTCAAATCCTGGCTCCACCAAATATAGTCATGTGACTCTAAGCAAGTTATATAAACCCTAAATCTTGGTTCTCTTATCTGAAAAGGGTGACAGAGTACCTACCTCAAAGAGTTGATAAAGTACTCAACACAAACTGCTCACTCAAGTATTCTGCTTTAAAAATAATGCAAACAATTATTCTGCAAATACTGTTATCACAGTATCCTGAGTTCAAGCTTAGATAGGACTACTAGCTAAGCAAGTGACAGGTGATCTTTACCTGGCAAACCATTTAGCCTTTCTGAGATTCCAATTTCTTTACCTCTAAAACTTAGATACCAATACTTGCTCCTGCCCATCTTCAAGGATAATGAGGAGGGACAAATAAATAGTCTTTGTTTAAATGCTACATTTGGTAAACTGTAATTCACTAAACACACCCATAGAATAACATCTACATTTAAAGCCATTTCAGTCTTCTCTCAGAGAAATTTACTTTACTGAGGCAAATAATGACTTCAATTTACTACTGAGATAGCTATGCTGATGGCCCAAAGCAAAACTTCAGGCCTCCAACTTCTCAACACCCAGAAATGCTCTGGACTTAGTAAACTGGTTACAAAAAATAGCTAGAAAAGCTGCAAATATACAAATTCAACAGAATAAACAAAGGAATATACACTTAAAACTATTTCCTAAACTGAATGCAAACCCACAAACTGATAGTAGCCAAATTAACTCAATACATTCCTAAACTGAATGCAAACCCACAAACTGATAGTAAACAAATCAACTAAATACAACCCAAGCCTTTAAAATGTCCTTATTAAAAAAATAAAGCACTGAAAGGAAAAGAGAAACTTAAATGTTAGTATTGTTGAGATTGGTTATTCTAACACTAAAGCCAAACATTATTTTAAAATGTAATTTTAAGTTTTAGGATATCTGTGAAGACTATTTAAAAAGGGGATGTGGGGGTCCTTATTATGGGGTTCTTAGCCTGGTTCCTTGGACAGGCTTCAACGGGTCCTTAAACTGCAGGCAAAACTGTGCCTGTATACCTGTATGTTTCCATGGTGAGAGTGCACAGCTTCAGATTCTCAGCAGGACTAGAGGTATAAATGGTAATATTAATTCTCTCATCAAAAACTGATGACAACAGCAGACTATTTACAATCTTTTGTTACCAACTTTTATTTTAACCAAATTACGGTCTGCCAGAATTTTAAATAAATATTTGAAGTCCCTACCGTTATCAAACCCTCTGTGCATATCAGATAGAAAGCAGTACTATCCGCATTATGTCTACCCTTTCACTCAAAGCACAAAATTTTTATGTAACAATGGTGTGTCCAGGCAGACTTCTTTTAAGTTTCATCACTGTTGGTAAATTTGACAAGAAATAGGTTTTTGGTATAGACTTAATAGTTATTGTGAGCGAGATTTCAAGAAAGACCTATAACCTACTTCAACAGGTTTTATCAAGTTCCAACCATCATGATTCTACCCAGTCATGGATAAATGTTACTATAATGAGATAAAGTAAGACCCTCTGTTCTCAAGAAACTTAAGCCTCTTATGTTTGGGATACAAGAACTATAGAAAAGAACAATGAAAACAATTTTCAGTCTACAGGGAAAAAAAAATCAACTTGTAATTGTTTGGTATAACCTACCAATAAAATTGCTAAGTAATTAAAAAAAAAGGAAGCATCATTGTGAGATTAACGTCTAGGAGGCAAATTTTTAAACTGAGCCTTAAAGGAAATATTAAGAAATTGTCCTAAGTATTTTTAAAGACCACCGGCTTATACACAAATAGAAAATCCTTAGTATTTGTTCATTAAGACAGGTTTCTTAGAGGGTCTGCATGGCCAAATTTTGTGAAACTGGTTCCACTAACTGTATATAATTAAAGGTAATAAAAGCCAAATTCTACTTCAAGATTCTCTACATTTTTGTTTCCATAAATCCACTGCATTTTTGAGTGCTTCTAAACAAAGTTCTAGGGGTTTCCCAAAGAATTTTCAGTAAGAACTTTCATCATCTCTTTTCAAAAGATTAAATAGAGATTAACAAACTTTAGTTTCTTTAGATACTGTTTAAAGGTAGTTTTTCTAGTTGAGTTTAAAATAACTTGAAACACCAAAAAATTACTAAAAGCAGTTTTTTTCTTCTATTAGAGAGCAAAGATATTCTTTTCCCAATTTAATAAAACCATAATCACACAACTTACATCTGAGATACTAAAATAGTTCACTGAAGTAAGTACCAAGGACTTTACCTAATCACCGTATCATAAAACACCTGCACCAAAAGTATCTCAATATAAATACAAATAACCTTAAAATTCTAGGAAAATTTAGAATAACATAAACATTGGAAAGTCCAGTTTGAATAAGTGCAAAACCTGCTTCCACCTGTCAGAAAGTAAACTCACAGTTCAAAGTAACCTAGAACTATTCCACTTTTATTACTGCCTTGGGTTATTGAAGTGAAATTCAAGCATATAAATAATCAAGTAAAATTCAAACACAAACAAGATGATACATTTTATAAACCCACTGCCTTAAAGAATATTAGAAAAGAGGTAGTTTGGAAGTTTTGGGAAATATCCCAACATAAATCCAAAACCCACATAAGCAGTTCGTAAATGAGCATTTTCTCAACAATCAAGTTTTTGTAATCTTTGATCTAATGCACCTCAAACAACTAGGCCTTTGGGCCCAGAAACAGTGAACTTGCAATACAGCTTGTTTCTTTAGGTTCAAATACTATCTTACAAGGGTCGGAAATAAAAGAATCTGCCCCCCCCCCAAAAAAAATCAGTGTACGCTCTTTAATAATCAAAAGTGTAAGGAATAAGGCCTTTCATTCCAGGAGACAGGCCATGACTATCCCGGGATGATTATTTGTAGTACAGTGCTCTCCTTAATAAAATTTACTATTAAAACGACGAATGGTACACTAAGAAGAAACACTATTAATTAAAAAAAAAATAGGTATGAAGGTTCCAATCATGACTATCACCGTTCATTTTCAGCTATTTCAGGGCTGGCAGAAAGGTTTAATACACCCACACACCCCCAAGGGAGGGGAAAACCACCAACCTCCTCCCAGGGAGTTTAATGAAAATTAGCAGGTAAAAGAGGCCTCCTCAGCAGCACGCTGAAAATCAAAGAGGGCGGCCGGAGGGCCGAAGGGTTCGGACTGCGGAGGAAAGCTTCGTCCTCGGACCCCACCTCCCTTCACCTTCCCCGCAGGACGAAGGAGGCGAAGGCTCATTAGTGCCTTCGTTAATTGACACCTGTAATGAGGAAACTTTCCGAGAGGTGAGACCGCCCAGGCGCGGCCTGGCCGGAGCTCCGGAGCGGCCCCCTCTCGGGCGCCCAGGTAACCGGGCCGGGTTGGGCCCGAGGCGCCGCGGCGGCCGCGCCACCGCGCACCTTCCCTGGGCGCTAGGCCCGCACGCCACCCGGCTTGGCCGTCGCCTCCCGCAGGCCTCGGCAGCCCGGGGAGCTGCGCGGGGCCCCCAAACTGTGCACCCCCACAGGCCGCCGCCGCGTCTACTTACTTTCATTTAACACCTCCACCAGGTCTGCGCAGTTCTCGCACATCGTTCGGCCGCCGCCCCCCCCCTCCCCCGCTTCGGATCGCACTGACTGATCCCGACCGGCGGGGGGGAGGGGAGAGAGGCGGAGGAGGGGGCCGGCCGGCCGGCGGGGCGGGGAGGCAACGAGGGCGGGCGGCGGCGGGGACGGGGCGGAGAGCAGGAGTATGGGGGAGGGGGCCGGCGGTCCCCGGAGCGGGCGGGGGAGAGGAGGGGGGCGAGGGGAGGTGCGCCGGCCGGAGGGGCGCGGAGGCGCGGGCGGCGGGGAAGGGGGGGAAGGACGGGGGGAGGGGAGAGGGAGGGAGGGGGCGGGTGGGGAGAGAAGCAGCAGAGTCACTTCACCGACCAGACGCCGCGGCCACCGCTGACGCCGCCGCCATTTTAATAGAGCGTTCGGGCTGCGCTCGGCTTTTTCCGCCCGAGCGAAGGAGCCGACGAGAAACGCCTCGCGCTCTCATTCCTCCGCCTCCCTGCCTCTCTTCGCCTCCCGCCCTCCCACCTTTCCCTCCGCACACACGCCGCACGCTCCACACCCCGCCGCGGCCGGCTCACCGCCCTCCCTTTCCTCTTCCGTCCGGCCTCCCCGCCCTCGGTCCACCCCCTCGGCGCGCTCGCCCACCCCGCCCAGCCCGGATCTCTGTCAGCGGCCGGAAGGGAAACACGAAGCCAGCGCGGCTGCGGGGGGAGTCCGGGTGAGTAGGAGAAGATGGCGGAGACACCGAGCGGCCCGCGGTTGCGCGGCGTCGCCCACCGCGTTCCACTTCGCGGGCTGCGAGGTTTAGCGAGCGCCGGGTCACTCGCGCCGCCCTGTTCCCCGCCCTTGCGCTTCGCCATTTTTCCTCCGGGCCCACGAAGAGGGATTGGTGGCGATTTCTCCCTCCCCGCTCTCGGGTTTTTGGGGTGGGGGAGGCAGGGGTTCAAAGGGGAGCCGGGCCGGAGCGACCCTGCAGCCCGAGTTGGGGCACACGGCCCTCTCCCCGCGGGCCTTTGTGAGAATGGAACAGCCCAGGGGCGGCGTAACCTGCATCTGTGTTGATCGCTACCCTCGATTCTGTAAGGCTCATCCGTCCTCGAGCAGTAAGACACCTTGATGTGACAAGAAATGGCGGAGTGAAGAGCGTTCACATGGCATCTCCTCCCTTTTACGCGAGAGGGCCCTGCACCAATTACCGGTCCTCAGCTCTTCACCTGAAATAGCATATTATGCTTCTCAGCGAAGAGCAAATCGCCAGGGTATTAAGATAGGGACAAAATGAACAGGTGAAGGAAAGGGGACACTTCAGCTCAAGTTGGTTAACAACTAGTTAACATTAGGAAAATTTTTCTCCTATCCTCACTGATTTCTATATCTAGTATGTTTTTATGGAGATGTGACCGAACAGTCCAAAAGGGAGTGTACCTAATCTTAGAACTATAACCGGAGCAGCTATTCAGACCCTGTAGTAATTCTTTTAAAAGATTTTATGGAGGTTCTGTCCCACCATCTTTCCATGCCAGGACCACCTTGCGGGTATTGTTTACCTTTCTGCTGCTTGAACTTGATGGTATAGTTTCTGCCCACCTGTTTTACAGTGCTCCATAGGAGCAGGTGATCCTTCAGAGCTGTGGAGATACTCTATTATCTTCCTTTTCCATCTTTACTATAAAACTTGGGTTTCTGCAGACTTGACTTTTCTCCTTGACCATCCAGCATCCATTCCCACCCACCCCTCTTAACTACCAACAGGGAAACTTGCCAAATCCAAATTTTGTTTTGTTTTTCAGGTGGCAGCTAGAGATTTTGAATTCCAGAAGGAAAGCCCCAAGGAATATTTGCTACTGGTTTAAAACAATCATAGTAGGGGTGAACCTGTGTTTGAGTCCTTGCCAGTGAAATGTGACCAGAAATCTGCAGAGTGGATCTTTTGGAAAGAATTGCCCATTACTAAAAAAGGGGGACAAATTCAGTAGTCATTACCCTTAACCCTTCTTTCTGTCTGAAACATAGTTTTGATTTACAAAGTAATACAGCATCTGTTGTCTAGCGTTTGTTTTTGCTTTTTACAGTGAAACTATAAACAGGATAAAAGCTAACTATGAAGTTGATAATGCAGAAAAATAAGGTGTGGTGGATCTCTGATACATCCTAGAACAGCAGTCCCCCCCAGATTGCTTGTCTGTCGCATTTTCCTTAAGCCACTGTTTCCATTACTTGTGGCCAAACACATTGCTGATACAGAAAGTGAGGACAACTATTACCATACATGTGGAGTACTTCTAGGATATATTGAAGACACAGTCTGATCTTTTTTTTTTAAAGATTTTATTTATTTATTTGACAGAGTGAGAGCAGGAACACAGAGGGAGTGTAGGAGGGAGAAACAGGCTTCCCGCTGAGCAGGGAGCCCGATGTGGGACTCCATCCCAGGACCCTGGGATCATGACCTGAGCCAAAGGCAGACGCTTAACCAAACTGAGCCACCCAAGCGCCCTGACACAGTCTGATCTTTAAAGAAAATTTTTTAATAATTGCTTCCTAGTTTTTTTTTTTTTCCTTTACAAAGTTATGTGAAATGATACTTGATTTAAAATTCTCTGAGGGGCACCTGGGTGGTGCAGTCTTTAGGCATCTGACTCTTGGTTTCGGCTCAGCTCAGCTGGTGATCTCAGGGTCATGAGATGAAGCCCTACATCAGGCTCTGTGCTTAGTGTGGAATCTGTGAGATTCTCTCTGCCTCTTCCACTTGTGCTCTCTCAAATCTTTTAAAAGAATAAAATAAAATGCTTTGAGAATCTAGAGTATTATTGTCATAAATGATCATTACTCTTTAGTCAGCACTTCAGAACTCAACAAACTTCCTGTAGAGGGCCAGAAAGTAAATATTTTAGGCTCTCTAGGTGCCCCAACTTTCTATCACAACTACTGAACTCTGTTAGAACAAAAACAACTATAGACAGTACATAATGGAAAAAGTGTGGCTGTGTTCCAATAAAACTTATAGACACTGAAATTTGAAATTAATATTTTCACATGTCACAAAATACTATTTTTCTTTTGATATTTTCAACTATTTAAAAATATAAAACCGGGGTGCCTGTGTGGCTCAGTCATTAAGCATCTGCCTTTGGCTCAGGTCATGATCTCAGGGTCCTGGTATCGAGCCCCACATGGGCTCCCTGCTCAGTGGGGAGTCTGATTCTGCCTCTGCCCCTTACACACACACACACACACACACACACACACACACCCACTCTTGTTCTCTCTCTCCCTCCTAAATAAATAATAGAAAAAAAATGAAAAGTTTAAAAATATATATTTATATATATATAAAACCATTCTTAGCACACAAACCATACAAAAACATTTAATTGCCAGATCTGGCCTGTGCACTGTAGTTTACTAACGCTTTATCTATTTCAACTGCTTGTTAACACAAAGGCATAGGAGACAATGAAAAACAAGGCTACCTGCCTCCTAACTAGACTCTTAACTCTTCTGTGCTGATTTAGTATATGTATCAACAAGACCTTTTCATACATTTAAAAGATGTACATTCTAAAAGTATGATGATGGGGCACCTGGGTGACTCAGCCGGCTGGGTATCCAACTCTTGATCTCAGCTCAGGTCTTGATCTCCTGGTCGTGAGTTCAGGCCCTACATTGGGCTCCACAATGTGTGAAACCTACTTTAAAAAAGGGAGGTGGCAGGACACCTGGGTGGCTCAGTAGGTTAAGCTTTTGCCTTCGGCCCAGGTCATGATTCCAGGGTCTTGGGATCGAGCCTTACGCCAGGCTCAAGCAAGGAGCCTTCTCCCTCTCCTGGCTCCTCTTCTCATGCTCTCTCTCAAAATCTTCTATAAAGGGGAGGGCAGGGGAGGCTCCTGGGTGGCTCAAGTCGGTTAAGCATCTGCCTTCAGCTCAGGTCATGATCTCAGCGTCCTAGGATTGAGCCCCACTTCAAGCTCTCTGCTCAGTGGGAAGTCTGATTCTCTAACTGACTCTCCCTCTGTGCCCCCCCCCCCCCCAAATAAATAAAATCTTTTAAAAAGTTGGGGAGGGCAGCACCTGGGTGGCTCAGTCAGTTGAGTGTGGACTCTTGATTTCCAATCAAGTCATGATCTCAGGGTTGTGGGATAGAGCCCATGGTCAGGCTCCATGCTCAGCAGGGAGTCCACTTGAGATTCTTGCCCTCCCCATCATGCATGTGTGCTCTCTCCCTCTTTTTTTTTTTTTACGTTTTCCCTCTCTTTAATAAATAGTGTGATGAGGCAAAATCTCTGCTAAAATATCCCTAGATTCTTAAAATCTGAATTTCCAACCAGTAATCAACAATCACTATACACCTTTAATAGCTAAAAGACTGTTTTCAATATTTTGTATCCATGTCACCATCTAGTGGTAGAATCATGCTTTGAGTAAAATTATATAATCTATGAAATTTCTAATTCTTGAGTTCGTAATACATATGTCATATACTCCTAGCTGCTTACCTGAAAACCAGCCTCACCATAAACAACTTTGGAAAACTAATATTGCCGGTGAAATTATTTGCCCTTAACATTCTGGTTGTTATTATTGAACATAGGGTTTTTTTCTCGAGTTTGGAATTAAAGCCCGCTTGTTACTATCAGAGGCCAGAGTTATTGCAGAATTTACTCTTATCCCTCACACCCACGCTTGTCACTGTTTTGTGGAACATAGGACCATTATTAGAAGGCAAGTATGCTATTTTATTCTTTTCACAGCACCCAGCCCAATTGTTTGTACATAAGCTCAGCAAACCGCTGCTTGGTTCTTAACTTGCTAGAGTGATTATTTTTATAAATAAATTGGATTATATCACTTCGCTGACAAAAACCCTTCAATAATTCCCGTTGCATTTACATATGTATTTATTTAAGTAATCTCTACACCTGATGTGGGGCTCAAACTCACGACCCTGAGATCAAGAGTCCCATGCTCTTAACAACTGAGCCAGCCAGACACCCTCTTCCTGTTGTATTTAGAATAAACTCTACTTGGGCCTTGCCCAACCTCTCTGGTTTTTAACCTCACTCTTGTTACATTTCAGCCACACTGGTCTGCTTTCAAACATAAAATCTTTTCCTGCTCTAGGTCTTGGTGAATGTTGTTTCTTCCTAGCACATGCTGTCTTAATTTTGAAATAGCTAACCTCTTATCCTCACAGTTTCAACTTAAACATCATCTCAAAAAATAACTCCCCTCCCCTAGAATATTCTATTATAGGGGCACCCGGGTGGCTCAGTTGGTTAAGCATCTGCCTTCAGTTCAGGTCATGATCCTGGGTCCTGGGATCAAGCCCCACATAGGGCTCCCTGTTCAGCAGGGAGTCTGCTCCCTCTCCCTCTGCCTGCTGATCAGCACCCTGTTTGCTCACGTGTTCTCTTTCTCTGTCGATATAATAAATAAAATTTTTTAAATAGAATATTCTATTATAGTACTCTTCATTTCTTTCATAGCTCTTACTATTCTCTATAATTATTTCTGTTTATTTGTATTGGGGACACATTGGACTGCAAGTAAACAATTTTTGAATTTAAAATGGCCTAAACAAATAGGACTTATTTTTCTCTTGTAACAAACAGGCAGTAGACAATCCAATCCAGGGCTGGTACAGTGGCTTAAGGATATGGACCTAAGTTTTTGTTCCTTTCCATTTCACTGTCTAAATTTTGGCTTGTCACCTCTTAGTTGTAAACTAGCCATTATAGCACCAACTGTCTGCTTTAAAGACAGAAAAAAGGAGGAAAGGAGATGATGTCCTGTCTTGGTTTCAATTCCCTACAAAGCAGATCCTGAGATGAGGACACAAGTGGAAATAGTTTTATTTTGATGTCACCCCAAGAAACATTGGTAGGATAGTAGAGAAGTGAGATAGGAAGTGGGAGAGTAAGTATCCAATACAAGATCCATTATCAAGCCCTGTAATCCCTTAGGATTAAGTAACTCTTAAATTACTCTTAAGTAACTAGAGCCTAATTCCCCTGGTAAATTCTACAAACCAATAGAAAACATGTGCCTGAAAATCATCCTACCCAAAAAACAAGCAAACAAACAAACTCATCCTACGCAAGGGACAAGGAAGGTTGGATATTTACATCTACTCTCCTTAATCATTGTTTGTTGCCAGAGGAGAGGTTGTGGGCAGCAAAGTAGACTACTTGCTCAAGCGGCTAAAGAAAACCCTTGGGCATAGAAATGCAGGTATTCGCAGTTGGAGGTCTGGCCACTGTACATTGAAGTGATAAGAACTAGGGGATTTGGGCAGAGCACAGTGACAGCGTCTGGTACACCCCTTTTCCCTCTTCTGTCTGCCTCGAAGATAATTATGATAATCTGACAAGGCAGCAGCCATCCTGAAACAATAAACCTGTAGGCAAAAACAAAAGCCAAGGCATGGAAGATGGCAGAGTGGAAAAAGAAAAGGCCTGAGTCCTGGTGGCATTGTTGAACAGCTGAATCAGTGCTAGCAACTGCCTGTTTGTTGCTACATAAGATGTTTGGTTATCTAACAAATACAAAACTCTAAAGCCACTATTAGAGTATCTGTAGCCCAATGCAGTCATAAAAAATAGTGTGGTGGTTAGAATAATGCCCCTAACCCTCAAAGATGCCTATATCCTAATCTGCAGAATTTGTGAATATGGTACCTTACATGGCAAAAGGGACTTTCCAGATAAAGACCTTGAGACAGGGAGATTATTTTCTATTCGTGGGGGCTCAATTTATTACATGGGGCTTTAAAATGAGAGAACCAGGGGCGCCTGGGTGGCTCAGTCATTAAGTGTCTGCCTTCAGCTCGGGCCTGATCCCAGGGTCCTGGGATTGAGCCTTACATCGGGCTCCCTGCTCCGCGGGGAGGCCTGCTTCTCCCTCTCCAACTCCCCCTGCTTGTGTTCCCTCTCTCGCTATGTCTCTCTCTGCCAAATAAATAAATAAAATCTTTAAAAAAAAAATGAGAGAACCATTCCCAGCTTTGTGCAAAGGGAGCTGGAACTATGCAA